CTTACCTCAGGAATAAGATGATGAGAATGAGATCTAATCTTCTAAGTAATTTCATATTCAATGAAAGCACCCCCTCTAGCCAAAAAAAAAAAAAACAAACAAAAAAAAACACCAAAAACCAAAAAAAACCCCAATCTATGCATTGCTCTAGGAGAAAAAAAAGCAGCTGCTCTGTCCCTCTTTGGAGAGCACTTGCTTGGAAAAGTAGAAGAAGGGATTCAGCCTTCACACTTTTGGATGTATATATATTTCTTGTAGGGATGGGCAAAAATTCCTGGTTTACACCCCGGGAGGAGGAAAATTGTCCAAGACATCATCTCCAGCTTTAAAATATGAACATGTAACTCTAGATGTGAATATCTGTAGAGTGCCCACTATCTATTCAACTATAAATTATGTTCCAAAGCACGTCCTAAAGTAGGTCCCAGTTCTCTGTAAAATTTGATGAAAAAAGAAATAAAACAAAAATAATTTGCTGAGGAAGCCCTAAGTACAATAACGTAAGTTTTTCTATAACTGTAATAAGCAATGTAGTACAAAAGAAGTGAGAAATTAAATTAAGCCAAAATATGAGATTGTTAGAGCTCTCTCCATCAAATCACAGACCTTAGCCAGTATCAACCTTTAATGACTGTTTCAAGAACATAAATAATCAAATAGCATAGCAAAGCAGGCAGAGGTCCGGCACCATAAGAACAGTTCTCTAGTACCTTCTTGCTACACTGCATATATTCTGGTCCAAATTAGTTTTAAAAGGAACTTGGAATTATAGTACATTCTTCATTACTTCCCCATGACAGAAATTTTCTATGAACTTCACATTCAGTGACTCCAGTGCTGACTAGAGATTATCATTCAATGACTCCTGGACTATTTCTTCTTTGAGGACAAAACTACATAACAGATACCACAGTAAAGCTTGCATAGTCACTGGCTTATAGATATCATTACTCAATATGTTCCCATCAGGACAAAATGCTGCTTCTCTATCTGTTCAATTTTGATCAGTACTTCATAAAAAGAAAAAAAAATCCCCTTTAATCCAGGATACCTGAGCCAATAGGAAACAAATAAAGGCCACACTCTGCAGTGATGTGTTGCGATGATTTAGGCCAACTGTAGAGTTCCTATAAGTGGACAACCTCAGCTTAACTTCCGGCACTTCCACACACTGATTTTTGCAAACAACTTCTTTAGTGATAAGAGTACATAATAGTCTTCTATTGGTAAGGCTACAAAGTCCTTTCTTTGTACTACTGACTGATATGATTGATGTCTCATTACTTTACTCAATTACAGCTTTGTTGTCCCTCTAGGGCAGTGGTTGCAAACCTATGACACAGGTACTACTTGCTTTTAAGACAAAAAATGTTAATGTATAAGTTGTTTTTTCTAAATTACAACCTCTGCATTCAAGTTTAACTGCGTTTTTGGCAATGTGGAATAAATGTGTATTTTGGGGTACAGTTTGGGTACTCATCTCTAAAAGGTGTCACCATCACTGCTCTAGGGCCATCTCCAAATGCTGTCTCCTAGAAAAGAGCTCCCTCTAGTGTCCCAATTTAGATTAGAAGTCTTTTCATCATGACCTGCTTTAAGAAACATTGCTTTGTTCTGATGTGGCACCCTCCATGGCAACACTAGTATCAATAATGATAAGCCACAACATGGGTTAGTCTCACGGAATATTGGTGAAATTTATGTTTAGGAAAATGGTTTGTACACTTAATTATACTGCAAAGGTTACCAAATACAACTCTACCTGGGAGTGTCACAGATTTTTCCATAAATATACTTTGTAGTAGTCCACAGAGCAGTTATAAGTTTTTCCTATGAATTAAACACATCCAAGTCCATGTCCTTCCAGGGTGGCCTTCTAATTTCTTTAAATGAATTCTTTTCACATTCATCTATTTGCATTTGAAGTAGATCATACTATGGCAAACAATACACATCTGCTTTCCATTAGACCGAGGTAGATGTCTTAGCAACATGTTGTTTTGATTTATATTCAGAGTGCAAAATCTATACTAAATATTTACACTCTTCTACATGTATAATGTATCAATAATAACTGTCATCAAAAATTATCACAATGGTAAGTATAGACTATAAATCAATAACTGTAATTATAGCGCTGAACAACCTATAGTGAACTACCCTCAATGCTTCTGAGTTAACAAGTGGCAATCTGTCACTATGTTGCTCCAAATTATCTAAATGGAATCCGTAGTGGCACTTGTACATCAGCAATTTCCCTTCTCTGCAGAAAACAGATATAGATTGGCTACTGCTGTTGTTGTTGTTAACATCAGTTAAAGTTACCATCAGATCTGTGAGAGATGTCTAAAAGTATTCTGTAGCTTGAAATCTCTGGTATGAAGTCACATGTTTCCATCCCTCCATAGAACTGTAATTCACTTATAATTGCTTTTCTATCTTTTCTAATTCCCTTCATTTCCATTTATTACCTGTTTTGACACATACCCTTTTCTCTATAATTAGGCTTTCTGGGTCTAGAGATATGTTATAAGCCCATAGGACCACTAAAACCAGCAGTCTTGGTAACACTTTTCCTTGGCAGAAATTATAGTATTTGATAGATAAAGACTCACAGGACACTTGCTTTGTGTTTACAGACAGGCCACAAATTGCCTAAATGGGATGAAGTTATGCATGCCTCTAAAAGCCTTTAGGAACATGCACTGTCAATCCCTTTGTGGTTTCTAAGTATGATGACTGGGTTTTCATATCACTGTTTGAGACTGCTTCTTCCAAACCTTGTTACAGTGTTGGTGAATTGCTTGCCTGCTGTGAATAAAAACCTGAGAAGAGCAGAGGAAAGAGGAAAGAAGAGGGGAGGGGAGGAGAGAAAAGAGAAGGGGCCGGGAGAGTATGGGACAGAGCAACACTGGGTTAAACGGGCTGAGACAGGACAGGGCAGAACAGGACGGTATTCACTGTCCAATTTACTGGTACTGATATTGTGTTTTGCACATTGAAAACATTTTCCTTTCTTTGGGACATGCAACATTAATCTCAGACCTGGTCCTACTAGATCAAGCAAAACAAAAGTAGTTTTTGAAAAGGAAATTGTGTCTTTGTATCCCTTCCCATCACTGTTTCTACCTCCCAATCTTAGAAAACTTACCAGTATAGTTCTGGCATTACTTCTATTCATACACAATGTCAGTATAAAACCATTTAGCTAACTAGCTAACCATGAAAACTTAATAGTTTTTCTAATGATTAATTTAGTTATTTTTAACTAAATGTATCTTTTAAGGAAAAGTTTTCATGATGGGGGAAAGTATATTCACACTTTTTCTCCCACTGTCATTTCTCTGAATCTTTTAGTAACCAGGTGAATCCTGCTCAAACCAACCCAAATGTAATGACTCCTCCCCTCTCTTAATTACTGTTTTTTGTTTGTTTTTGGCCAGGAGATCTGAAATTAATACCCTTACAGGGAGATTTTATGAGTTTTTTTCTTTCAAAGGAATTTATATCACTTACAGGAAAGAATGAATAATAGACCTTCTACTTGATCTTTTTATTTCCAGTAATTATTAGATTTTTTAATCAACAGTATAGCTTGTGTCCAAAGACTTAACATTTTCCATTGTGGAAAAAAACAAAGAATTATTATAGCTCTCAATTTGATATCAAATTATGAAGTAATACAGTGTTAGATATATACACATACATAAGTAGTGCATATGTCATTTTCTAGTAAAAGAAACTAGGGATTTTTTTTTTTTAAAAAGGATAGGGTCTACAGGGTCTACAGGGTCTCACTGTGTAGATCAGACTCGTAGTGACCCTCCTGTTTATAGCCACTCAAGTGCTGGGATTACAGGTGTGTGCCACCACACCTAGTCTCTAAACTAGGGATTCTGACAAAAAGTATTTTCTAGATGTGAAACTTAAAATGCTTAAGATGACCCATATGTTCGTTAATGCAGCGTGCATAGTGCTACCAAACTCGAAACCAGCTGCATATCAGCAGCAGCAGAAAAGACAGTTAAACGGTAGTATATTCCTGCGATGCAATGCTAAAATATAAGAATACACACAGTGTTACTTCACTCAATAATATACACTGAGCAAAAGAAGTCAGATGCAATAGACAATATGTTACATGAGTATAAATTTTAAAAATAAGCCTGGGTTTTATTGCTATTTGGTAGTGCTTGATGCATTAGGTTTGATTTCTAGCACTACTAAATTAATTAAGTAAATGATTAATTTCAAAACAGGAAAAACCAATCTATGATTTTAGGTATCAGGGGACCTGTTACCTTTGAAAAGGCAAATATTAAATAGGATGATGTTAGTAGTGCATTATATTTAGATTTCTATATTGGTTATACAACTGTTTATTTTGTGAAAATATATCCAGCTGATACTTAGAATTCTACTTTTTTTAAAAAATGTATAATATACTTCAATAAAAAGTTTCTTTAAAAAAATGAGGTAAATAACAATAAGCTTGTCTTCTGGATGGTTAACAACCTAAGTTTGCAGACCAAAATTAGAGAAAAAGCAGGGCTGCAAGGAAAGCCAACATTTTGGCCCTAGCCTTCCAAGGTCAATTAAGACTCAGGACATACGAGAACTTGTACTGTAACATCATGTACCTTGGTAGTGTCCCAAATTTTCTGATCAAGGAGATTATGGGGCCAAAGAGGAAAGTGATCGGTGATGTAGGGTGTGCCTAAGGAGAGTCACATGGAGAGAAAACATTCTCTCAGGCTTTCACAGAGAGCACATTGGCCAAGCAATGGCCGTGACTCATCCACATGGCTGACACTGACAAAGGTTCTACAATCTGAGGTACAGGATCTCAGGATAAATCCTGCGGGGATTTCACTGACCTTATCAGACCCAAAAGCTACAACTCTGGTTGCATAGGTCCTGCTTTACTTTGGTCTTAACCATCCAACAGAAAAGTATAAAAACTAAAAATAAGAAGTAAAGCCATGGTGTTATGTTGAGCTCTACAGGACTCAGGTCAACAATTTCTGACATTGCCAGTCAAGCGGAAGACCCAATACTATTATGGGCTATTGGGCTCTTTTAGAATATTTTGCTAAGTTTACAAACCTATAATATTCAAATAACGGAACTTAACAAAAAAAGGGTATACAGATGAATGTCCATTTTGTATCTGTGTATTCAAAGTGGTTAGGATAGATATATAGTTACATTCTCTTAATGAATAGAGTGATTTGTTCTAATGATGTTTGTAAATAGGATATCATGTCCGCATCTTGTACAGCAATTAACCACTAGGAAGAATGTATGCAATGTGTGAATTATTGAAACTGTCCTACCAATTTGATTTGAAACTGTCTCATTGCTATTTGTTTATCAATAAAATATTGGGAAAAAATGAGGTAAGCCTACATTCTGTTATATGGAAGAAAGATTTGTGTGTGTGTGTGTGTGTGTGTGTGTGTGTGTGTAGCCGGAGACTGAACTCAGGCCCTCGCGGTTGCCATCCAAGATGTATTTTGAAACAAAAGGGAAAACTGTAGCTCCCTATACAGAATAAGATAGCATTCACGTAGTAATAAAAAAAATTATGATATCTTGACCTGTTATATATACTCATAAGTGATCTTAAAAGACAATTATTATTTATGCTTCTCTCACAGAATAATATTCACACAATCAAAAACAAATATTTCTAAAGGGTTGGAGTTTTTAATTCCAATGAGAAAATAGTTTTGAATCAATCTAAAAAGCAGTAGAAAGTCCTATACATGATAAGCTGTTAATTTGAAAATTTTATGTCTATACTTTTATTACCAGACAAATTACTTCAGCTTTTGCTTCAACCAAAGTTTTAATGCACTGACTTTTCGTTGCTTGCCACCTACTCAGTGGCACATACAGAAGTGAAAAGACAGACAGTATTAACTACATACTATTAAAGAGGTTACAATAATTTTGAATTTTATAGTTCTATCTTTCCAATAAGGTAGTCCTTTTTGGGTCCTACTATAGTCCATTATCTGTCAGTAAGAGGGATACTACATATACTTTCTGGTAATGAGGCATTATACAAATTGAAACTATTAATTCAGGAATCAGCAATGTAATTAATTGATCTAAAATGAGGTACATTATTTGTTTAGGAATGTTGAAATTCTAGGTAATTTTGAGAAAGAGGTTCAAGAAATAAATGCACTGGGCTCCAACCCCATAGTTTGTCAAAAATATATATAACTATAAAATAAAAACTTAAAATAAATTAAATATGTTTATATATAATATCCACATTTGAATCAGATTATCATCAAAAATCATCATGTGTTACACTAAAGACATTTTAAGAAGCTTTCAAAAAAAGAAACCAAACATAAAAACTCTCAAGAACTCCTAGATCCCTTCTCTCCTCCATATCTCTACTTCAAATAGTAACAGAAAAGTTTGGTTGTCAACTTGTGTAGCTAGTAAAGCACAGCTCTCTGGCCAGCTCTGGGGGCATGATTTTGAAGCAATGTCTGGTGCTTCACCCTCTCCTCTTGGTGCTCTTCCTCTATGCTCTGCTTCTGACCACAGTGAAATGAATAAGTAAGTCCTACAACAATTTCAGCCTGGGAATCAGTTTAAGATGAACTGAAACCAAAGGACCTGATATCTCTACCTTCTTAAATTAAAGGTGTCAGGTAATTTGTCTTGGCAATGGGATACCTGACAAATACACCAAACCTCTATTAATTCAAAGCAATATATCAGTTTAACAGTCAGTTATATATTCAAAAAAAAGGAAGCTCATTATTAATCAATTTGGCAAAAGTTAAAAAGTCCATTTAATCTTTCCAGTACTTTATACACAATGCTATTTCTTCAACTTGTGACTCCAAATTTTTATGTTCTAAATTACTCCCTCTTTCTCACTGTAAGTACTTGGTAGTGAACTGACATTATTTATTTGGTAAAAGATATCTTCTTTAAAAGTCTGGCTACATACCGAAAGCTGCTACTTTGATGATGACTGCCTGAATGTTAGCTGCTATCATCTCTCGAAGCAAATCTTCCTGGTTCCTCTGCCATAGGTAAGCCAAAGGCTTAAGATTAAGCCTTTTACACCTATAAGGGAAAGTGAGGGACAAATGAGATAATACCTTAACATTCTATACTTAAGTCCATAGTCAATGCTTTGATTTTAAACAAAATAGTTTCAAGAATTTTAGCATCTAAAATGATTTTAAAAGTATGTTTTGGGGTTGGAAATTTAGCTCAGTGGCAGAGTCCTGCCTCTCAAGCACAAGGCCTTGGGTTCAGTCC